GATAGCGTCAGTCTTTTTACGCATGATATGGAGTTCCATATTAGTTTGTTTATTAATATAGCACACAGTGAAACATTATTAATTATCTAATAAACAAACTAATATGGAATTACTTACTACCACAGTGCCCAAGTTTTACACATAATATAGCTAAAATATTCATTCAGACATCTATGAAACACAAAATAATTGAACAAAGAATATCCTTTTCGATAATTTCCTCTTCTGGCTTTACAATTACATATGCATCTTTATATACATAGAATATTCTAGATAAGTAGTCAATAACAATATTAGTGTTTTTTTTAAATAATACCGATTTGTAAAGTATGATCAAGGAAATTACAGTTCATTAAAGATGCTTGATAATAATAATGATAATAATAATAATAATAAACATATAGTAGCAAATAGAATAACAATTAAAATTAGGAAAATTCCACGCTCGGATGACCGAGCGGGTAAGGATGATGTCTGAACTAACCAACTTCTTTTGGATGCACAAATTAGGCTTCTTAATATGGATCCCAACAGCCAACCTCAACAATATTTAGTAATCGAACTCTTAAGGCAAAATTAAGATTTGTTGGTATGCGGTAAATGACTTTGAAAGCCTGGTTAACGTCAATCTTGTGTTCTGTATCCACAAGATGAGATAGAATAGCGCTACGAGTAGATTTTGTTTGTCCTTTACTTAAGCACTATGCAGAGTAAATAAAGTATAATTATATTTTAATAGTTTACACACAATGTGATAAGTTTTGTTATTGGTAATTTTGCTCGAAATATTACCAATAACAAAACTTATCACATTGTGTGTAAACTATTAAAATATAATTATACTTCATTTGATCTAATCCACAATGCTCAAACTTTTTACTGATATTAACTATGCAGAGTGATGTTCAGAAATTCGACGAGAAACATGCCTAATTTTACGGCCTATGTAACTGACCCACTCCACAGGAGCAGTTAAATTGATAGATACACATAGCAAGAAGAGGCAAAATTAGGCAGTTTGTCTTTTAATCCCGGACGCATGCATTAGTGGTAATATATATTTAAATATAATTATTTATTTTAATTTTATTTGTTTACAATCCGATTGGAACATAGGGGTTCAAGCTAGAGCTCTGGGGTTTCTGTAGCAATGGTTTGATTTTACATAGTGGAGTTTCTAGCCTAATGACTAACCTTCCCTCTCTACCGGCTTAAAGAGGTTTAGGAGTATACCGACCGGGAATCTAGCCCGAGTTCTACCAGAACCTCCAAAGCCTCAGGATGGTCGGGGGTGGGTGCCTTGCGCTGCGGGTTGGCCACCCCTCCGCACACCTTTTGAAATGCTCCCATATGACCGGGCGTCTTACATAGCCTCTCCTGAGGAAGTCCTACTCACTGCCTTCACGTGGCGGAGGTGTTTCTCACCAAAGTGAGAGGGCGAAAGCGGATGCCCGGCGCTCTCCACCGGGTTGACTGTCCATTGGATGACGGTCTAGGGGAGATGGCTAAACCCTGATTCCAAACCTCCAACGACTGGCGTATGTAGCTCACTGGAGCTCACCGGCAGACGTATGGACAAAGGGCTTGTTGGATGTCCTGGATGTCTGGCCCCATTCAAAAAGGCGTATGAACCGAACTCCAGTCACCGGCTGCCAATGGATAGTGGACTCCTTACTCCACTCCTACTGCCTTGTAGGTCACACTTGGCTGTGTAAAGGCTAGAGCTGCACTCTCAAACAAAAGGCCGAGCGATTCTGGGGACATCACTCGTACCAAATTCCCATGAAACTTCATGAACTCTCTTACAAATTGCCGCGCCTGAGCAGCGATGATTCGAGACGTTCATGAAGCCGGCTCATCCTCCCGTAGGAGATAGCCGAAGTAAAGTAAGTAAGTAAAAGTAAGTGAACCAGAGACGCATGAAATAATAACACTAAATTGAATATGACTGACTGGTTTCAACATAAAACTGCTTTGCACCCATGTGCAACAGTTCGAGTCGCCACACTCCCCGCCTCCATGTAGCACACAAAGGAAGAGAAGAAATTAAAGACAGAAATATGAAGTAAAAAGAATAGTAATATAGAAAAACAAAAGAATTTTATCGGATATGATAAGTCACGAGGAGTGGATGCATTTGCACCAACTATTGACAATATTTTTTAACCATGTCACCGATTCTCTACAGCCGCCGTCATTGGTTTTTCCCATCCCGAGGACCCCAACCAGTCAGTCAGTCAGGAAGTCTATACACCTCCTTCCCTACCTGTTTAGCTCAAACTAACTGTTGTGGATTTATTTGATTGACTGATGAAGCCATGTTTTGGTTTGACCACCACATGCTAGCTCTTTCCCAACCTGATCCATCGTATGTTAGTCATCTAACATTGCCTGTTGTCGAGATAGGTGATCGGTGGCTAGGCATACGTAACAACAACTAAAGATAGTTAAAAATAAATAATAACCTGTAAAAGGCTTACGGGGTGGGGAAAGGAGAAACTGTCACATTTTTACAATCAATTGATGTTGGCTAATATGACTGCTCCTGCCTACATTAGGCCTACAACTGGACATCATCATCGGATTTCTAGACATCAGAATACCTACTTAAACAAGCGATAGACAGTCTTTTCGAGGCTGGGTTTTTGCTCACCTTGTAGATATTTGGCTATGAGGTTGGCATTAACAAAGCCTATTAAAATTGTCCACAGTGTAGTACAACTAATTCCAGTTTTGCCTTACTAGTTTACCTTGTAGCTGAAACAATCTCAGAATCCACATTAAGAAGACCAACTTCGAGAGAAGTTCACTCAGACAATTTTCCTCTACCTGTGTGGTAAGAGCTGTCTGTTAGCCAAAATTGGTAGACACCAATTTACGTCAATGTTTACGTCCCATATCTTGGTCATGAGAAAAGAACAAGAACAAAGACTAACTCGACAACCAATCTCAGCAGACTTAGCGTGGGTGGATACGATTCGCACATATATGGTCCGATCTTCAAAGAAATGGCCACAAAGAGATGGCAGAATAACTTCCAGTGAGAAAACAACCAATCAGAAGACGCTGTTTCTCAGCTAATAATAACGAATAATAATGTAGATAAAAATCTATAATTATCGGTTGATTTTCTCAATAAACGATCTGCTGCCTGACTCTTGCCTTCTGTCGTTACGCCTTGACCATCATTGTTCCAACTTTCTCTCATTATCGCATACATACTTCCATTTTAATTTCATCGGATATTCAATTTACTACTACATTTTTTATGCTTATTATCAATTAAACATGCATACACTACTGATTTTAACAATTCGATATTTCATCATGAGCTGACCATTGGATCAGGTCCCAGTGGCTGAATGGTCTACGAGCTCGCCTTGTAACCAGAAGGCCCTGGGTTCGAACCCTGGCGGTGGGTGCGTACTGCTGAAGGGTCCCAAACTAGATTGACGAGACAGCTGTCCAGTACTCCCAGGTTTTCCAGTGGTTCTCTAACTGATGTCAGCTCATGATGAAATCCTCTATGCAATCAAACAAAAAATCCCTACAAAACCAATACTTGAAAATTCGATATTCATTTAGGAAGCACCGACATTGCCGATAATTATTACTTTTTTAAATATGTGTACATATAATTATAGAAACAGATGAAGAACTTATCTTTGCTCAATTTTACTTTGTTTTGTCTTCTAAAATATCTCTAAAACAAACAAATGATTGCCAATACAAGTAAGCTGTGAACGAAAACCCTCAATATAAGCGAGACTGGCCAAGTTAAACTTTAAGCACCATTAACTACTACCAATCAATGAATGATTTTGAATGGTCCAATGAATTTCATCCACGTGAGTTGAAGCTTCAATTCCGTCTGCTGTAATCTAGTTGCGTTTGCAGTTCGGTGAGGGTAAAGTATCTTCCAGTATTGCTTAGATGTGGAGTTGATTAGGAAAGAAAGGATTTGCTCATGTGGAGGTGTCATGAGTATAAAAAGCTTCAGCAGGTCAATTGATGGAGATGTGCATCGTTGTGCTATTTGTTTTAGACGAGTTAGTGTCAGGGAAGGTAAGCTGATGATTCTAATACTTCGTAGGAACATTTTTTGCCAGGTCTAATCTGTTCTTAACACAGATTTTGTATATTTGTAATGAATGGGTTTTAGAGCAGCTTGTGAGAGCTGCAGCTACTGAAACTGAAAATAGCCTCATATCAACAGTCCAGTGATACCAGCACTGCAGGATTATCGCGTCCTCGAAAATGGAGAGGCTTACTTCCTTATTGGAAGGAGGTGTCGTCGTACATGCAGATGAAACTGTCTTATTAAAGAAAAAACACAACCGTGGTTGAGAACGAGTGAATAACGTTTGAGTGAATGGTTTATATAATACCTCTCTACAAAAAGGTTTCCTCGACAGGATACTTTAATATCTATTATTACTTGACTGGTGAAGCAAGGATCTATAATACACGCAGATGAGTGGAAAGGTTATAACTCCCTGTCATACCTTGAATATATATTCACCACAGAGTGAACCATTCTAATGATTTTGTAGATACCATTACAGAGACCCACACTAAATCTATCAAAGGCTTTTGGAGAAGGTTAAAAAACAGAATTAGAGCCAGTAATGGATAGTAAAGCGATGTCATTTGTAGTCACTTAGATGAATATGTGTACAGAATGAAGTGTAACTTTTCAGTTGATACTCCTATGCTAAACTGGGAGATGTTTGTATCACATATCAGAGAAAGGTACCTTTATGTAATAGTTTTATGCATCTTGTTTTCATAAATAGATGTTTTCCATAACCAAAAATGCCTCTTTCATGTGATTGGTTCGTTGAAGGTCATCCGTTGATTGGTAGTTGGTACTGCTTAAAAGTTTAACTTGGCCGCGAGACTTAAACACTGGAAACTTTTATTCAAGTGTGGAATGTGAAAATTACAAGATTTCACAACATCAATTTTGTTGTTAATCTTGTAAATATACTTTGACCTACCTCATCTACCCATTTCATAGCCTTGATAAGTCGATAACGTTCTTGTTCATGAAAAACTGGTGGACCTTTATGTTTTGTAATTTCCTCTAATGAAATAAAGCGGGGAAAATTATTATTATTAATTATTATTATTATTATGTAAAAAATATAATAGATCATAGATTTGCTATTGTTTATGTTACATCTGCGCCGCTAATTGTTATAACGGTAATGAACTCGACTGGTACGCTAATATGCCTATTTGTGCATTGTACCCTCCGCTGGGGAGAACCACGCAAATATCAAAAGATAAAGACTGGCCTATGACTGTAAGATACTGCATATCTACTAGGAAACAACACATCATGTTTAAAAACTTTATCACAATAAAGTCGGCTCACAGCCGTAGGAATGGATTGTTTTTGTTGGCTGACAATAGATATTCTGATTGAGATATGATGGAGATTTGTAGCTAAGGTGGATGATTTTGATTTAGTTGTCTTCTCTGAGCCGGATAGCTTATTTGCAAAGCTTTCATTCCCCTTCTAGTCAACATCTTCAGCACATACTTCAACTTATTGAAGTGAACTTTTAGATTTCCCCACGAGTTTATTAGTCATCTCTCCCACTGGGTGACCTTGAACGTCGTGATTTGTTTTTCTTCATGTTTTTACACCCTCTAGGCTACTTGTATTAGAACTGATTGTTTCTTTGACTTGAACTTTGACCATCTGTGTGTGAGATTTCCTTCTTATCGGTTGGTACATTTTTTCTATCTCGATGTGTCTGTTGATTGATGATTCAAGTGTTGGTTTGTAGGGATTTGATTGATTTCGGGATTTCATCATGATTGATGATTCACTGGAATACCAGGTTTCTAAAAATTCTCTGGCTGTCAATCTTGTTGCTTCCTCTGTTTAATATTTGAACTGTGGTTGTCCCAGTTGAACTGATGTCCGTGGTTGGCTGTGTGTAGCCGGGAGGTATGAGGAAGTGGGTGTGATGCCTTTTAACGGCTAGTTTATGTTCATGGATACGAAGACGGAGGGGATGTCCGCTTTGATCAATGTAGTGTTTTCCGCAGTTGTTACAATTTATTTTGTAGATGATGTTGGTTTTATCTTCTTTCGATGTTGTGTATTTCTGTTGACACAGAGTCAGCCGAGTGAAGAGATTTTGTTGGTTTGTGTGCGACATCAATTCCTAAATGTTTGAAGAGTCTTGCAGTGATTTCTGAAATGTCCTTTATATATGATAGGATGATTTTCTTTGTGCTTTCCTTGGGGGCCTTTGATGTGATACGTTGGCTTGGGGGTATATGTCTTTTGATGAAATTCCGTGGATATCCATTCTTTTGGAAGACGTCCATGAGATATCTTTCTTCAATTTTCCTTCACGTCGGAGTGCTGCAATGAGTCCTGGCCCCATTGAATAGTGTTTGTATACAATTCCTTTTGTGTGTTATTTGATTGTTGCTGCCGTAATTCAGTTCAAATATTAGACAGAGGAAACAACAAGATTGACAGCCAGAGAATTTTTAGAAACCTGGTATTCCAGTGAATCATCATTCAACAGACACATCGAGATAGACAAAATTTACCAACCGATAAGAAGGAAATCTCACACACAAACAAGTCAAAGAAACAATCAGTTCCAATACAAGTAGCCTAGAGGGTGTGAAAACACACAAAAACAACAAATCACGACGTTCAAGGTCACTTCAATAAATTGAAGTATGAGCTGAAGATGTTGCCTAATGGTGGAGCAATGGAAGCTTCGCAAATTAACTACCCAGATCAGAGAACACAACCACAAAATATTCTGATTGGTTTGCGATCCGACAAAGACCAAGACAAAAGATGATCAATTGATCTTACACAATAAATCACAATATACGTGAGAGATGATGGATTAATATAATAACTCCATCACAAGATTTGTGAGAAAGGATGATATGCTATTTTATGCTAGTTCCCATCAGTTCATTTGTTATTATGAATTTTGTCATGTGGCAGATAACCCTGAGAATAAACTTATCTAATGTAAATTCTGGCTGAGTTGGCTTATAGCAGACGGGACAACTGGCCAGCAAGTACATGTTGTTTTCATAAAGTAAAAGGTTACATTATTCAATAAAAAAGGTCAATACTATCAAACAAAAACAATAGTGCACTAATATCAACTAGAATTGGTTCGATGGTGAGTTATGACTATTACTGGAATCAAGGATGCACGTTTCGTCTTATTTGAAACTCGTCATCTGCATACGCCTGTCATCCTCAATTAATACTAGTGTTCCCACTGAGACTCGAACCCATCGTCCATGGTTTCAGACGTCAAAGCGTTATCCAGCTTACCATTTGAGCCATGAATACCACTTCTTGTGCGACGAGTGTCAGCTATTATTTGTTTAAGTCAGTTTTGATTTTTCTATTGATTGGTTGGACTAGAATGTTTCAGTCTCAGTGGTAACACCACTCGCTAGGGATTGCGGAGGCACATCCAGCTAACGAGTCCTAAATAAGATGAAATGTGCATCCTGGATCCCACTGCTAGTCAACACCCACCCACCAAATAACATCAATGTTAATCCTCATTGTTGCAGCATCGATACACTAATAGCTGACATATCAATGGAGGCCGAACATTTCAGTCCTAAGAATCAACAAGAATATCGGAAAGCACTTAAAAATAGAATTCGTTCTATTTTCCAAGATCATAATATAATTAATTTTAAAGTAGATATATAAGCAGAGATAGGCTTACTATCTGAATGAACACCGACAATAAGTTGATCACCAAGAGCTTTAGCTTGACGGAGAGCATTTGCATGACCAAAATGAACTAGGTCAAAACTATTCATCAAAGAAGTAAAGATTATCTTTAATTCAAATGAAATGGGGGACAACTACCATCCATCAACCCATACGCGGATAGGCTTCTTAACATTTGCTTGTTGATTATTCGATTCCATTCAGTAACTGAAAAATATAAAATGTAAAGAATGACTATCACAGGATATATATATATATACCAGTTTAACACTGCTAGCTACAAATGTGATTATATTCGATCAAAACAAATATTAGGTCGGACACTTTTTTCGATCACGCAGTCATGGTCCCAGAGCAATGATCAAAGACTGTAACCGAGGCAGTGGCTCAACAAATTGTTTGCAGGCCACAGTATATCGAAGACGATACTGACACACGAAATATTCGCACAAATCCATGCTCGCTGCGAATCACACCTCCAAAATAGTTTTACGAGAAAGAATACATAACTGCAACATCAAACTTAAATCTTATCTAACGAGAATCAAAAACATCGACGACTGTCTAACAATACTTGTTACAAGCTATATCTATGAATCCTTTCAAAAATTGTTTAATGAGCGAGAATCACATTTCCATAATGTCACTAAAAGAAGACAAATACAAAAATTTTTGAAACTCGAAGAAAAGAAACAATCAAAGAAAACCTCATCAAATGATATGAAGAATACTAGAGTCACACACAAAATATCAGACGAGATACTAACCGAAAATGAAATCTCACTAATACAGAAAGGTCTGAATTTCAATATCACCAGAAAGCCATCATCGGTTCAAGAAATAGCACCTATGATCGAATCTGCTCTACAACAGTTCACCAATAAAGAATCACAATCTGTTCGTCAAAAGAACGACGACACATACCATCTAATTTCACCAAACAAGAATATGAAGCCCTAAGAAATTTGAAGACAAACGCGTCGTTTTAACTAAAGCTGGCAAGGGAAACGTCACTGTGATAATGAACAGGACTGACTACGAAAAGAAGGCGATTGAACACCTATCTGAAGGACCATACTTACTCATTGAAGAGAAGAAGACAGACGAATTCAACAAAATGAAACTAAATACAAAAAGACTCCTTCACGAAATAAAAACTAGAGTTAGAAAATCTCTCTGGGTTAAACCAAAGTCTTATGCACCTTTTTAAGATTATGTTTTCAACCAAAGATACATAAACCCACAGTTCCATTAAGACCAGTAGTCGATTTCACCAGCACCGACATATAGCCTCTCCAAATACTTATTTTCGATACTACATCCACTGCAAAAGGACACTCAAAATATTGTAAAAGATTTATATGATCTCAAATCCCAAATAGAACACCGAGAAATTGATAAAGAAGACATTATGGTAAGCTATGATATTAACTCATCATACACAAGTATCCCTATTACCGAAAGCCTTGATATCATTTCCAGTTTACTAGAATCAGATACACCGCTATCACATAGATGTTCACCGGACACCACCGAAATAATTAAGAGCTTAAAATTCTGTCTAGAAGGTAATTATTTTACATTTAAACGGAATTTATTGAGACAGACAAATGGTGTTGCTATGGGATCACCAGATAAAGAAGAGAAGTCAGAAAGAAGAAGATTACAGCACCTCTGCTTGAGACAATCTGATGGGGTTATGAGTGTACAATACACTGCTCACAAGCATTTACAAGTAGAATATTGAGTAGCACATTGTCTTCTTTGAAGCGGTGGGTGAATTTGTGAAGAATGAAGATCACTGTGAAACACAGAAAGCTCGGAAGGAAGACAAGGAAAGCCGAAAACGAACAACTTCAAATCAGAATTCCAATGTAAGGATCTTGTATTTTGCCATCACTGTACATCATTTTGCAAAATAAAGATTCGGTTCTGTAGCTAGAATGGATAGCGATAATTCATGATGACTTAATTTTTGGGAGGGAGAACGTTTATCAAGTAATTTAGTTACAGAGGATAAACCGTTGTCCGCATCAGTTTTCAATATGGAATATACGTCCCAGGAAACATTGTTAGAAAAGTATTAGTTGTTTTCCTGCTGCCGTCTGCACAATTCACAATTTTTCAAAATGAAAATCTCATCCATAATGCACAATTCACCCATAGACATTAACCTCTGCATTAATATGGCAACATTACATGGTATTTCTTTAGTTAGTATGTTACTGACCAGCTTGAGGAAATATTGTGTCAGTTGAAACTATTTTCTAAAATAATGAAAATGATACGTTTGCAGACCTAAATTACAGTTTCACTATAAACCGACTATGATAAAAATGTTCAATTCTAATAGGAATTAAAACTTTGACAATGTAAACATGGAACTCACCTTATATACATTGACAATAAAATGAAAGAAGTAAATGTAGTAGCAACTGGCTTAAAGATGGGCCAAGGTTGTTCTAAGTCCAAAGTTCAATATCCAATATCCAATATCGTTTTTACGAGCTAGTATAAACCAATTTGATTTCTTTGTGCTCGCTTCTTGATTGTGAGGTATAGGTTCTTGATCTTCGGTAAACTTCTGCGTAGCTTGTCCCGCCACTCGACTGTCGTAGCTTTGGTTGACTCCAAAGGGAGTAGTGCTGGGATTAATTATATGTGGTTTGTAGTATGAGGTATGTTAAGACTGTTACTACTGTGATTGGAGTTGATCCTTTCGCCAGTTAGTCCTTCGGTATTGTCGACAAGAGAAAAGAGATAGTAATAATAATAATAATAATAATAGATATAATTAGTGAAGCTATTCAGACTAAGAGACAGAAACGAAAATAGGAAACGTAACAACAGTCAGCTCATGAAGTTTGAAGAATAATATATATATATATCGGTAATAGTAATAATAATAATAGTAATTATAATATTAATAAGTTGTCAGGAGAGTAAGACGGGAGAGAATGTAAAGAAGTAAAATGACGAGTTTAATTATCTACCCTGATTGGTAAATGCGATTTTAAGGAGATAGGCCATTTGGATGCAGTCCTTGTATCGCTGCATGGTTGTCCAGCCTTCGCTTAAAGGCGTCCAAAGACGGTGCCATAGCTACATCTGCCGGTAAGGAATTCCAGGGACGACAAACCCGCAGTGAAAAGAAGTGGGAGCGCACCCGGGTCCTTGCCCTCTGGTGAGCTATCCTTCTGGGATTTCCACGTGGAAGCCTATACCTACTCAATGGCAGAACACCTTTGTTTGGGTGATTCTGGTCATTTGTTATTTTGTAGGCAGTAATCAAATCCCCCCTAAGCCGACGGTAACTAAGTGTGAACAGGCCTAATTTCTTCAGCCTTTCATCATATGGTTTGTTTCGGAGACCAACCACTCCTTTTGTTGCCCGTCGTTGGACTCTTTCCAAGAGGTTGGCATCTCTTCTCAGCATTGGGGGTGCAATAATATTATGCACCTCAAGGTGTGGCCTGACGTATGTTTTGTACAACATTAGAAAGAGCTCAGGAGTGAGTGCACCTAACTGTCTATGCGTAAAGTGTATGACCGCATATGCCCTCGCTACATCCCCTGTGTAATTTACGCTTGTGTCCATTTTTTCCGTTAGAACTAGACCTAAGTCGCGTTCCGACGTTGTGCAGGACAAGCTTTCATTGCACAGGGTGTAACTTGCATTCTGCAGTCTACAGGTGCGCAACTTCACTACTTTGCACTTTTTCAAGTTGAAAGTCATGCCACTGGCCACCGCCCAGTCTTCCAGAAGGTTTAGGTCTTCCTGTAGCCTATCTGAGTCCTCCGGACACTTTATCGCCCTCCATATTTTTACGTCGTCAGCGTACAGGAGAGTCGGGCAGCTCAGACGGCGTGGTAGATCATTGATGAAAATCAAAAACATCAGTGGTCCTAGGATAGAACCCTGCGACACTCCTGATGACGATCTGTGCCAAGATGATCGGACTCGGTTAACCTTAGTGCAAAATTGCCTGTCGGCTAGGTAGTCCTTCAACCATGACAGAAGTGGCTCACCTATGCCTGCCTGTCTTATTTTATGTAGGAGAAGGTCATGGTGAACAGTGTCAAATGCCTTCTCAAAGTCTAGGAAGACCACATGGACTGGTACGTTCAAGTCCCAGCATGATGTCCAGTCGTCCCAAGCTGACAGTAGGTTAGTGACGCAGGATCTGCCTTTTCTGAAACCATGTTGGGCTTCATGCAGTATATTAGTCCTATCGAAATATTCCCTGATGTGGTCGTCAATAATACTTTCCAGTACTTTTGATACCACTGGGAGTAGAGCTACTGGTCTATAGCTAGCAGCGTTTTGCCTGTCCCCACCCTTGAAGATTGGAGAAAGGATGGCTCTTTTCCACTCCCTTGGCAGGGTCCCCGAATCCATTGAGTGTTGGAACAAGTCGCACAGGGGTCTACAGAGAGCCTCGGCGCACTGTTTCAGAACAGATGGCCTGATGTCATCACAACCTGGGGACTTCCCAGGTATGAGTCGCTGTAGCTTCCTTAGTACTATTGCGGGGTTTATTTGGGGAGTAGTCGCTAGGTCTTCCTCCTCTGAAATAGTGGTGCCACCATTTTGGTCCGTAACTGTAATATCCACATTGCTGTTTAGCTGTTTAGCGAAGGCTGAACTGAATGTTTCAGCCATCTCCAGACTAGTGAGATATTGACCGTTTGGGCCTACTAAGGCGCATGCCCCTTGGTTTGTCGGTTTTCTTTCCGACATGAATCGGTACAAGTTTTTAGGGTTTGATAGGAGTTTTTTAGCAAGGTTAGCCTGGAATGACCTTCTGTCCCTCCTAACTCTTGCATTACACCGGTTCCTGAGTTCGAGGTATGCATCATGGTCGGTCTGACTCTTAGATACACGCCACGTAAACCAAGCCCTCCGCTTTGCTTGCAGAATACGTTGCGTGCCTCTCTTCAACCATGACGTCTTTCTCTTAGGCTGTGTTGTGACTAAAGGGACGGTATCCGAGATTGCTGCATGGATAATCTTTTTTACCACTTCCCAGTGTTCATCCACAGATAGGTCGTCCCATGCTAAGGGCCAGTCTGCGTCGGACAAGAGCCTCCGCATTTCAGCATAGTCAGCCTTGCTGTAGCACAGACATGGTCGCGTAACATCCCATTGCAAACGCTCACGGAGGACAAGATCGAAACCTATGACTGCATGGTCACTGCTTCCCAGAGGAGTCATGATCTGGACCTTTTCGACGAGTAGCTGGTCACTAGTTAGAATATAATCTAGTTTTGATGACTTTCCACTAGGGCCCCACCTAGTGTCGTCTCCAACATTCTCAGTCAGTCCCGTGTTTCGAATAGTTTGCAGTAGGTTTCGGCCAAATTTTCCCTTAGCACACCCGGAGCCAAGGTTCAGTGATGGAGCATTGAAATCTCCAGCTATGGTGATTTGGTCGTAGCCCAAATCTCGTATTCCTGTGATAGTGCTGAGCAGTAGCTGATTGTGCTCTGCCCCACAGGTGGGAGATCGGTAGATGCCACCCAGTAAGTGCTTGGTGTGGCCTACGGTGAAATGACACCATATGGAGTCTGGGAGTTCGATAAGTGGTGGGTCCGTTGCGCGCACACATTTAAGTTGCCTATCAAAGTATATAGCAACTCCCCCTCCTTCCTTATTATCCCTGTCTCTCCTGACCAGTACCATATCACCTATACTGATTTCATTGTCGGCGATAGTGGGGTTTAGCCACGTTTCAGTAAGAATGATTATTTTCAGTTGAAGGTGTGCTTGGAGATTTCGGAGTTCACCTACTTTCCCTCTCAGCCCCCTCACATTGCTATATAGGCAACTGACAGTGAGTCTAACAACCTCAGAGTGTTGTGGGGTAGTTGACGTGAAACCGTCTGCTGGTGGGGGACTTGATGTTGGAACTAGTTGGCCGATTCCGATAGAACCGGCCCGTTGTAGTTTTTTTCAATGGATTTAGGCAGGACACTTGGGAGACACAGACTATTATTCTCAGAGCTGCATCGCTCTAGTGTCACCGAAGCTTGGGGTCGTATTAAAGCCTCAGTTTGCTGCCTCCTTATATTTCTGGGTCTGCTTTCACAGCATCGGATGTGTCCTCCAATTTTTCCCTTGGTCTCATACCACCGTTGAAGTGATATGGACAACTGCTCCGGGGAGTTGAATGTGACACACAGCAGCTTTGGAGAGTTAATCAATGTTAGATGAGCGGGACGAGGTAGTCGGAAAATGGAGATGGCTCCAGAAGCGCCAGGGGCCATCTGAGATGACAGCCATCTCCATTGTTGTACGTCGTGCATGTGTTTTTCACAAGCAGTGCCGGTTTCCAGCTCCGGAACACCGTGTACCACCATAGAGGTGGAAGGCATCAGTTCCGGTGACTCCCTCGCCATATTTCTGACGGCCCATGGTCTATCTTGCCGCGCTCTTATGTTAGAACTTCTGTCCAGGGCTAGTACCTGAGCCATTAACAGTACTTTTTCGGCCTCTTCGGCAGAGTCCAGTGTAACCCGTAATGGGGGTGGCTTACCCTGAGGCGTGTGGACACCCCTGTACAGTCTGCACAGTTTTGCTGAACTAATGTTCAGACCTAGTTTGCCACACAGGTTGGACCACTGTTCCTGATCAAACAGGGCCCGTTGTTCGAGCAAGCTATCCGTGCTCACAGGTACGTTAAAGAGGATGAGAGAGTTAGACCGACTACCCTCAGACTTAGGTTTTGCCTTCGGCTTCTTGCAGTCCTTTGCATCATTAGCAACATTAGGCTTCGTCGGTACCTGGACAGCCTTTTTTGTGTTGCCAGGCTTGCTAGTGGATGCAAGTGGTGCCTTTGTAATTTTGCCCTCCCCTGATGTGGATGGAACCTTGCTAATCTTCACCTTGTGAGAATTGGCATTTCCAGTCAGTAGGGCTGGTGTGTCCTTCTTTAAGTCTTTGACCAGTTTCGGCAGTGCGAGTTTAGCAGGGGGGAGCTGCATGATACTGTGTTGGGGCACAAGAGCATGTTATTTCTGCTATCCGCAGACACGCTTTGTGGGACTATGCCAGGGCGACAAAGTGGACACACGTACCAAAACCATGGGCATGGGTTATTTCTCATAAACTCATAGTATGCTTTCGGTACTTCTTTGTCACAACGGCAGTGCACCCATCGTTTGCAAAAATTACATTCAAACGCTGAATCAGTTTTAGAAACTGTGATGCTGCACGCCTGGCATTCATCCCCTTTCCTTGATGACGCCTTCGAGGTCTTATGACGTCTTGAACGTTTCCTTTTAGGCTTGATGTGTTTCACACACTGGCCTACAGTTGATGCAGGTGTAGAATTCTGTCCTTGTGGTATTGCCTGTGCCGTTTCAGTACTAGACTGTGGCAATGCAGGCGTTGTATCAGGGCAGACTAAAGCTACACGAGTCTTTAGGATCGGTATGCGGGAAGGGGTTGAAATCCCTGGATTTTTTCCTTC